ATACTTCCAGTATGCTAATGAGTGTGATGTCATAGTAGGCATTTGGGTTTATTTGTCATCATTTTAAAATCAAACCACTGATTACTATGAGGAAACAAATTTGCAATAATCTTTCTATAAACCCTGAGTAAGATAATTATGTTTTATACAGGATATTTTTCTACCCCAGTAAATTTTTGTATATTTAATAATGCAGAAAACAATAGCCTTTCAACATATCCTTTTATTCCCATGAAAAAATGACGATGGCTATCTAGTTGTTTACATGTAATAACATCAGGGTCATATTACCATTCTCCTGCGCTCTAGGTTTCTGATTGTTATGGTAATGTTTTCAAATTCATTCTACAATTTGATTGGTTCCTGCTGTCTAGGTGGCCCTGATTGTGGTATAGTCACACTGTAAGTGTTCATAACTACAGCTAGCAATATAATTAAGCATATTAAGAGTTTAATGTGTATAGTTCCAGAACATATCCATCCCCCAACCACAGAGGAAATTTGTAAAAGGACCCCTGTACCCCCAGGAACTTCCAATTTTCTTCCATTCAAACTCCGTATTTTTGTTTTTTCTCTAACCCCTCCCCTCCAGAACTTCCAATTTACTTTGTGGGTGGGGTATGGATATTTTATGGAACTACACAGTAGCTGTCAAGAAAGATGTCACAAGAGATTTTTTACTGCATAGTAATAATTATAAAAAGGTAAGTAGGTATAAAAACTTACTGCTTCTTTCATTGCAGCAACAATATGTAGACAGCAGAGCGAGAAAGATAATGACCACTACGACAATTGTTGCTGTAATCCATGCATTGTTTTGGGAAAATGTGCTCTCTCCACTATCTTTTCCACCACTATGTTCCTTGTCAGTTTTTTTTTAATCCTTTGTAGTGCTTTCTGGGTCATTTGTATTAATGTTAATGGAATTGGATCTATTTTTGGATTCTTTGCTACTAGTTTGTTCAGTTGTGAAGGCAGTCATTGGTGAAGTAATTGGAGCAATAACAGTAGTAATTGATATGGTACTTGGTGCAGGAGTCGTTGGAGCACAATTTCTTGCAGTCTGTAAAGAACATTGTTTTCCCATTGGCACTACTTGTGGAATATTACATTCAGGTACCTTCTCATTAGTCTTATCCCCACAACACCAGCTGCAGGGCTTGCAGTGTCCTCTGTCCCTATAATAACCACGTTTACAGGTACATCGTATAGTGTCATTTTCTCGTGTACATTGTCCACTCTGAACTTCATTTTCTTGACAACGAGTACATTGCTTGCACTGACTAATGTCGTAGGTGTCTGAGTATGTATGGTTCTCTTTGCATGGAACACATCCAACTTTAGTTCCTTCAGGATACTTTCTCCCACATTCCACTAATTGTCCATAACCAGGTTGACACGAGGGGCAATGCCATGTTGTGCCATTAGGACCACATAAGCCAATTTCATCATGCTTTAATTTATGAAAATTACAAACTGGTGCTGCATTCAAGTGCATCATCAAAAGACACTGTGAATATAATAATGGAATAGTTAATACTTTAATAATGATAATTATAATTCATTATTTCTTATATGCAAAATAACACAGTATTATTTCGATACATTTTAAAATGCATAAAGGTTTTAACAAATGGGCCTATACAGTACCGGAACCGAGTAAAGTACCATCCACTCGCGAGTACGAGTAACGAGTGGCCATGGTCACTHGCGAGTGATGCATAACGGAATATTCATGAAAGCATCACTCACTCGAAACGGAATGAGTGGCCTTGGCTCGTTTGGCTCGCGAGTGTAACGAGTCTTTTAAAAAGAACTTTTGTTGGACTGAAAGAAAATTAGTTCGAGAGTATCTGTACTGCATGTAGTTTGAATAAATTATTTGGTGTTGATAAGCATCGCCCTCTCTGAATATAAATCGCTAACACAACATTTAAGCGTTCAAAAGGCCATTACTCAACAGAACGTAAAGCACTAGCTAGCTGTTGAGATTCCTCT